TGCAAAGAGGGAATTCTCCCAAAGTACCCACCATGCCTGAAGGTGGAGAGCAGAGCTGGCTCTGGCACAGTGAGCACGGTGTGCTGTGGACACACTGAGAGTAGCCCAGGTCAAGGTCTGTGTTAAAAACCTCCCTGAAGCCCTGAGCACAAACCCCAGATGAGGTTTCTCAGTCATTTCTCACTAAAGCCGATGACAGCTCACACTGCTGTGCCACATCAGAGCTGGCCTTAAGCAGGTCAGAGCCCCTGGGGTGGGAGAAGGAGGACAGCATCACCCTGACAGTCAGAAGTCAATGTGATTTTTCACTCAAATTTAATTTTATCAGCTGGATGCCACCATAGGGTGGGTTATACCAACACTCTGGAGTGTCCTGGCTGGAAGTGCAGCATTCACTGTGAGGATGAAAGTTGTACAATTACCCTTCACATGCAGGCAGAAATACTGGTTTGGGTTTCCAKAAAATTGAGCCACTGTTCATTCCACGTAAAATGTTTGATTTGGGGTTTCCTTATCATGGCAACTTTTGATGGTTACACTTTGGAAAGTTATGAAATTTGTAGTTTTATTACCAGTTGCATGGGTACTTTTTATGTATAAGAGAATTGCAAAATATGCTACTTTTCTACCTAGGTTACACTTAATCAAGTATTTATGTTCTCTAGGGAAAAGTTTTTACTTATGTTTAATCCAGRTGTTGAGGCAAAGTTCTCCAAAACACGATTGAATCTCTGTTCTGATGAAAGAAAACTTTGTAGGAAATAAAGAGTTGGATTTTTGAAGTTCATATGAATWATAGTTTTATTTAGTGTAGAGAAAGAATATATGTTTTATAAATTATATGGAGGGTTTCTAATTAAACTATTGATGCACAGCATCCATTAGAATCCAATGGATCTGCTGTACAATTATTAATTGTAAATGGTTGTTAAGTTTATTGCTCTCTCAGGTATAATAAAAATGAATTTGTATGTGCCTAAAAACCAACAACTGGCATGACCTTACTCTTTTGTGGCCAATTTAATTGTCATTTTCTTTGATGTAGAGACAGACCTGAATGTTATGGTATCAGTAACTGGGGCAAGAAGAGTAATACAAATCAAGATATCAAAATATTTATAATGTAATTGTAATGCAGRATGTTTTTAATTATGCAATTATGGGGAGAGAAATTAAATGTTGAGTTTATGGATGGCATTGCTGTGGTTGTTTTGGTTGCAATTTATTTTTTTATTTTTGGTCATTTAGTAGTTTATGGGTGAAACACAGGGTGTGAAAGTCTGAATAGAATATGYACAGCTAAATGTTGTCTCAGAATGGATCCACAGCAAAACCTGAGATCAAGATCTAGATGCAGCAGTGTCTAAACTGAGATAATCCCTTTGAGTCCAAATGCAGTGAGGATATAGAAATTAAATKATAGGATAGGATATAGAAATTAAATTCACTCACATGAATTCTGTGAAATCAAATGAAAACATCAAAACCTCTGAAAATGGGTTAGCTGTTTCTTTAAGCAATTTAATTGAAGAAGTTGCTTGACAAAAACAAGTTTTCTTATTTTGTTATCTGTAAGAATGGCCTAAAGTATTAAAGTTAATGCTCTCACATTCTAATGCATAATTATTTATACTACTTTGATGTTTTGTCTATTTTTACAAGGTGCTAATTGTGCTGAATCAAGCTGACAAAACTGCATAATTTGTGGGTTAATATTAGCATAATCCTAAAGTACATTGTTTCACAACAGTATAGAAATGAACTTTATGGAATATTTTTCCAATATGATAAGTAAAGCACATGTCTCTAACAATTATAATTTCCATGACATAAATCACAGCTTTTAGGAAAGTGTATAAATAATGGTGTTCTTTTTCTTGTGGGTCAGCTAATTATGATGTTTTGCTGAAACAGAATGTATCACAAAAGTAGGTTTCATGGTTTAATGAKGAACATTATCAAAATATCAAGGAATTAATCAAAACACAGATGCAAAATTAAGGTTTGGTTTACAACAACAAACCAATAACATTTTTTACTCCATCTTATGTTTTTCACTTTCCTGTTTTTAAAGGTTTTTCATTTCAGTTTTGCATGCCCTCTTAAAAAACCAGTCTTGTGATGTGGAACATCAAGTCCAATCCCATTATATAGTTTGGAGTTCCAYTGACAGTATATCCAAGTGATATTTGTAAATCTTGGTGCAATGTCATGTGCAATGATACCAAACAATACACCATTTTGCTTATAGAAAGTGAGCTCCAAGTATGTAGAAGAGTGATAATCTTTGAAGGAAAGAAAGCACCAATATTTTTATGACTCAATTTAAACTGTGTTACGTGTTACCTCAGCAGTTGTCTTTGGTTGTTTTTATTTTTCTTTCTTGCCCTCCAGAGGCAAAATAAATCCATTATGTACTAATACAATAAAAAGATATTGCTCCCACAAGCCACTGGTTAAATGGGGCCAGTGTGACAGTTATTTTTCACTTATCAACCCAAACATATTCAAGACAGAAGAATGAAGCTGTCTTGTTGTGTCAGAGCTCAYGTGCAACACTTATGTGCTTTGCCTTGGGTACAAATCAGATATTCTCATCCAGGGTGTTTCTTTGCACCTTGTGCTGAAAAAGACAGGGAGGAGGACATATCAGAGAGGAAATATTGCCCAGATATCAGACAGTCACCTGCTAGCCACGCTTTTTTGGCTTATGGCTGTCAGAAGGAAAGGGTTTGAGCAGATGAGGATCCAGATGAATGGCTATGCTGGGGAATTTTAGCTCAGTGACTTGTCTCTGATGGCAAACGAGGGGGGATCCCTGGGTAGAGACACTTAATGGCTCTTTTCTATCCTCCAGATTGTGTGCCTGGGGATTCCTGAGGCAGGCATGTGCTTTCTGAGTTTTCATAGTCYTCAGAGTGCTGCTCTCTTATGAATTTATTCCCCATTCTGCTGTGCCAAGGCTTCAGCAATTTAGCTGTTCAGCGTTGGTAGTTAATTAGCCTTCTCCTTTTGTGGGTTTGAACTTACCACCTGGAAACAGGATTGCACATGGTAAAGCAAGCAAACAAACAAAAACCTTTTTTTTTTTATTAAAAAAAAAAAAAATACAAACAAAAAGCCTGTTTGAAGTAGTCCTGTGTGTGAGCAAATGTAATATGCAGAGTCAGCAAGGGAAGCTCTCACTTAGGTATATTCAGGAGAGGTATCCCATGACTTCCCAGAACAGGAAGCTGCTTAGACCCACATCTACCACAGAAAAGAATTGCATTTTCTCCTGTCATTTTAACAATATTTCTTATTTAATCACTGCAAGAGCCTTGAATTTCAGTGGCTTTGCCTATTGATGAATTTCTCTCTGTTTTTTTACAGACGTTATATTGGTTTATATTTGCAGTGAGTTGTAACAAGGGTTTTTTAGACATGAGCAATAAGCACTGGTGTTGAAACTTTTAAGCTTTAAATATGTATATCTACTCATTGTAACTTTTTGTTTTCTTCTTACAACTCTTACTGCCCAGAGCAGRGGAGGGAGGAGGGATGTAGGGTGAGGAAGGATTCAATTTGCAAGTGCTAGAATGCAAATTCAGTGATACTAATATCAACCCCTGCTGAATTTTTTTACATTTAAGCTTCTGATAAGCTTCCTCATGCTGAGAAGAGTAATTTCACTTTGTGAGGAACAGGAGGAAAGATGTTTTAATGTGGTGCCCAAAATGAGAGATCATTCTGGACCAAAAGAAATGGAATTTTAATTTTGATCTCGAGGTGGTATTTTTTTAAAGTAAAAGTAGATTTTTCCTTGCAATTCAGAGAAAGGTGGTTGAAAAAAACAACCCAAACTGTTATAATATGYCCTTCAATTATGGTTTGACTCATTTTGAACAATRAARTATGATAAGCATGATAAATGATCATGGTCATTTTAATRAATAAGTTAGATGAGTGACTGCARTTTTTAATCAGGTCAATAGTCWGCTTAAAATTTCTTTTAAACAATGGAAAGTCATCAGTAAAATGGAAAAGATTATCTGTATTCCCTGATAGTAATGTAATTTTGTTTGCTGAATTAAACTCCTTAACATYCAAATAATTGTATAGTTTGCCCATACGGAACCAGATTACCTCCAAGAGAAATAATTGAGTATCTTTGTTTTTATCCTTTAAGTACACCCTAAAATCTATTATAATCCTGTAAAGGGGGATTATTAAACTAAACAACAGTAGCACATTTAATGATGATCTCCTAACAAAGCATTCTGGCTAATCTGTGATTAGCAATTGCATTTCCACACCGATCTAACACATAGGATAACCRAATTTTTGTAAGAMGTAGGCYATCTGCAAACCCCCTTTATAGTTCTGTCTTTATTTAATTTCTTTAGTATTTGGCAGTGCCCAAGTCAAACARGTCTAGGAATAGAAGATGAGTCTGTCACTCTAGGGAAAAACTGGTCAGATCTTCCTCAAGTGCTGGCATTACTTATCTGGCTTTTTTGTAGTGGATTGTAGACTTGCAGACATGGTAGTAATGCTTTGTATCCTTGTTAATTGTCCAAAACTCTATTTTTTTTAATATTCCATTTTTTTTTTCAGTGATCCTTTTATTTCAGGACTTTTTTTCTTTTTTTCATAGCTATCTTTACATAGCTATCTTTATAAAATACTTGACATGAAACAGAAAACAGGGCTTAATAAATGGTTCCTTTCCATAGTGCAAGTAGAGATTCACTTGAAGATCATTGTATTTTCTTGAAAACATTTTAAAAATTGATAAAACGCTGTTTTGTGATGCATCTGCTTAATGATAATTTCACTTCAGAGGTACTGCCATATTGCCATTTGATATAACTTTTATAAATGCTAATATATTATGCCATAAATATTGCATCAATTTTAATTTGTGACATCCAACATTATTCTCTTTGTTTATTTTTTTTACTGTATTCAGTAAATAAAGTATCAATAGATTGTTATTTCACCTCCTTTTATACTTGCAGGCGGTTTGACAAATCTTTGGAAAAGTGGCAGATTTTTCATTCTGACATGAAGAGATTTAATCACTGGCTGAGTGAAACTGAAGAGAAGCTGTCAAGAGCACAGATAGAGGCTGGAGATGTGGGGCTTGTGAAAACCAAGCAATTTATCCAGGTATGACTTGATTAGCCTATTTCCTGTTTTTCTGCAGGGTTTAAGAAATTTTCAGGTGTGGGTGATCTGTATAGTTCTGCAGTTCATTTAAGSAGGATTTCTAATGTTGAGTGGCCAGTAACAATTTGTTCAGATGTGTCTGTTTTTCTGGTTAACTAGGAATTTTCACTGGCTTGTTGCAAGACACATTTTTAAAAGAAATAAGATATGGAATGACATGGYATATTGTGGTACTTTCATAGTTATATATTCCTTTGGTCTTTACTTAAAGTGCTCATTAATTTCCATTTGATAGTTAYGACCAGCAGAAGTATCAGACTTAATTTTAAATTCTTGTGAAGGAAATGTAATTAACCATTGAGCTGTACAAGAGCTATTCCGTGAACTGTGTCTTGAAAGTGTTGCTTATTTTGCCTGTTTCATGTTTTAATCAAAGGACCTGGAGGATGCTTTTATTTGTGAAATGCAGTGTGACAGAATAGCCACTTAGTTCTTATGTGTCCACTTCCAATTTGTATGCTTTTCATCTTGCAAGCTCTTTGAGCATCATAWGGAAAATAATAACCTTAGTTTCTTGGTAGTTTATCTCATTTCCCTCTTATGTGATTCAAATGGTAATGGGTATGAAGAATTAATTCTGAACTGATGTTTTGGAAGTAGATAGTTTCAGCTGAATAACTTGACCAAACTGTGGATTCATGTTATAAATTACTACTCGTGCATAAGAAAAAGGTGCTGTTAAAGTAATTGGCATTTGTACATTTGAATTGTTGGATTGAATTACTTGATTCCAGGTTGAAACAAGTGAAGTCTGTCTAACATTAAAGCTAGAGGGTTTTTTGAATGCAATACTAGCCTATTTCTTGGCCTACAGTTACAAAAATAAATCATATCTTTTGAATTTTAATATTTCAAGTCAACTTTTTTGAGACTTAGACTGCTATTTCTTGACTATAGAACTGCTGAACAGAAAAGAGAACAAAAACATGTATTGCAAAAAAAAAAAAAAAAAAAAAAAAAAAAAAAAAAGATACAACTATTAAGTAGCACACTAAGCCGAAGCATTTAAAATAGCAAGTAAATATTCTTCTGAACATTACTTTCAATGCTTTGAATAGTGAAGAAAGGTGTCTAGATCTGGTTCACAAAATAGAATGTCACCAAGGAATTAAAGATGCTCTTTACTGCATACATAAAAGGTTGCACAACTTGTGTGTTTGTTCCCTGAAACTCAAACTCCCTTTCTCTGTCCCACAATTTGAAAAATATTTATGACTGAAACAAGATATGTATCTARGTAGACAAAGAGTAATACTGTGTCACAAAGCATTACCCATTCTTTGCTTTGCCTCTGTGCCATCAGCCTTCTTGGCACTATTCTTGGATCCTTGAGCAGCTTCAACTGATTGTTTACCAAAAACAATGGATCCATGAGAAAATAAAAGTGTCTCAATTTTTCCTAACCCCTTGCTAAATAAGCATTTTCTCTCTGAGAAGGGGTTGATATTTGAGAGTGCTCAGGCAAAGGTAAAATGCATTATATTTAAATATTAATATATTATATTAAGATGTTACAAATGCACTGGGTGCATAGCATATTTCAAAGTCTCAGCAGATTAGAAGCATTATTTTCTTGTCATCAAGACAGAGGTTAATTCTGAACTGAACATCACAGTGAAAGACCCTGAGATAATGTCTTGTTATGCAGAAACCTATATTTCAGTGCAAAATACAGCTTCTGATTTACATTTCCCTTTGACTTAACCTCTTTCTCATTTGTTACCCATTTGTTGTTTCCTTATGCAATATATGAGAACATTTTGAATATGTGTTTGCAGAGTRTTCTTTACTTTTTGCAGTCCATCAAGCTTTTTCTTTCTTCCCTTCTCCCTTGTGTTAGAAATCCCATGAACTCATGAATTTGTCACTCAAGTTCTGTTTAGCTCAGTATAACAGACAAAAGTACCTTCCTAATGAAAATTCAAGTGGTGCAAAAATATTCTAACTAACCTCAAGATCTAATGTCAGTTAACATTTATTTGTGACAGAATGCTAAGTCTGAAGTTGCACTGCTTCCATTCTCTTYGTTGCTTCTTTATTTTGCTGGGTCTTGTTTCAGAAGTATTAGGCTTCTGTGAGGCTGACTGAAGAGATCATTAGAATTTCCATTAGGAAAACAGTTAAAACAGCTGAGCATTCTGATTTACTAGAGTAGCAACTTGTTTTATTAATGAGATCATGCTGCTTAGTGAACCATATTCAGAATTAACAGGATTTGTTTGAAAATGCTTTCACAAGCAAGTGAATAGTCTGGTGCTGTAAGAAGGAGCTGTTTAAAAAAAAAAAAAAAAAAAAGTACAAAACCTTCAGATGGGTAATACTGTTTCTGAGTAGGACTACTTTGGAAAAGCAGAGATTAATGTGTTCATTAACATTCAATAAATATATGGAGTCAAATGCTTATATAAAATGAAGCAGTCAACAGTATGATTAGGTGATTATGTTAATATAGGTTAAAAGGTAATTACATTCTTTCAGGTATTTTTGGGTAGGGGAGGTGTGTTCCTTTCTGCTGTATAATGGCATTATATTAAACAACATTTACACACTTTATATAGTGTGAATGAAATCTAAGAATAGTTTCACTTCAGGTCATGAACACTTAAATACTCTTATTGTGAAATTTTCATAAGACTTTCTGAGATAGGGGCTTGTGGTGCTGAGAAAAAATAACACACCTCAGTTTTTAAGAAATTGTAATTCACTTCTTTTATGATTAGGAGGCACAAGATTAAAAGGGATGTTTCATAGATAGCACATCATATAATCCCTTTGAAACATATTGAACWCTGTCTTTAAAGTAATTAAGGATTTTTTTTCTTTCCTTATTGTGACAGAAAGGCTCTTCTGTCTCTTTACTCCTTAATGCTTTGCAACTGTACCTTCAACTACCTACGTTTGCACTTTATTTATTTTTTTGTCTGAGTTGCAGTTCAATTTTATCTGCTCCTTGATGTTTATCCCCTTCTGTTCTTACAGGCTGCAGTCATTTTCCCTATCAGACCACGTTCAGTACTCTAAAGCCACAGTTTTCTAATCTGCTTTCACGTGGTAGCCAGACAACTTGACTTGTGCTTCCTGTGCTTGTTCCTCTTTCTGGAACATGAGCTCTCAAAATAGCACACTATTACCCAAACTGAAATACCATCTGTATCATCAACAAGGTAGCTCAGGTGCTGTGTTTCGTGGTTGCATCTCACCATGGCTGAGTGCTAGAATAG